TGACGGAAGTCAATCGTCATGGTGCCCTGTGACCAGTGGGGTCCCCCAAAGCTCTGTCCTTGGACCCATATTGTTCAACATCTTAATTAATTATGTGGACATCGGAGTCAGAAGCGGACTGGCCAAGTTCGCCGATGACACCAAACTCTGGGGCAAAGCATCCACACCTGAAGACAGGAGGATGATCCAGGCTGACCTGGACAGGCTCAGCAAATGGGCGGATGAGAACCTGATGGTGTTTAACACGGAAAAATGTAAGGTTCTCCACCTTGGGAGGAAAAACCTGCAGCCATCCTTATAGGCTCAGCAGTGCTATGCTGGCTAGCACTATGGAAGAAAGAGACCTGGGGGTCATCATTGACCACAAGATGAACATGAGTCTTCAATGCAATGCTGCAGCTAGTAAAGCGACCAAAACGTTAGCTTGCATCCATACGTGCTTCTCAAGCAAATCCCAGGACGTCATTCTCCCCTTGTACTCAGCCTTGGTGAGGCTGCAGCTGGAGTATTGCGTCCAGTTTCAGGCACCACAATTCAAAAAGGATGTGGAGAAGCTTGAGAGAGTCCAGAAGAACCACGCGCATGATCAAATGTCAGGAAAACAGACTGTACGATGAGAGGCTGAGAGCTACGGGACACTTCAGCCTGAAAAAGCTCAGGCTCAGGGGTGATCTGATGGCCACCTGTAAGTTTATCAGGGGTGACCATCAGTATCTGGGGGAACGTTTGTTCACCAGAGCGCCCCAAGGGATGACGAGGTTGAATGGTTATAAACAACTGCAAGACCATTTTAGGCTGGACATAAGGAAGAATTTATTTACTGTCCGAGCCCCCAAGGTCTAGAATAGCCTGCCATCGGAGGTGGTTCAAGCACCTACAGTGAACACCTTCAAGAGAAATTTGGATGCTTATCTTGCTGGAATCCTATGACCCCAGCTGACTTCCTGTTCCTCGGGCAGGGGGCTGGACTCGATGATCTTCCAAGGTCCCTTCCAGCCCTAATGTCTATGAAATCAATGAAATATAGGAAAATAAATCAAACCTCAAGTGAGCCACAAGCTCCTTCTCCTCCATTAGGAAATCCAGAAGAACTTTGCTTGCATAATTATAAGCTTTTTCTATTTGTTCCACATATGCTCGCTCTTTCAAGGTATAGATGACCTCTTTAGCCACGGGGCAGGTAACATCACGACCACATTCTCGAACAACATTTAAATATTTTCCTAAAAGCAAAAGGAAGTTGCAGTCACCGTTTATTTTATCCAGTATTAATGACATCTTTGTTGCCTCTCCAAATATTTAGGCCAAAATTTTCAAGTGAAAGGGTAAAATCTTCAAAATGGCTGAATGATTTAGGAGTCTTAAGTTCTGCATCCTAAACATAAGCCCATACTTCCTACTTATTACTTGGTGCAATCTCCAAATAATAAAAATGCAAATAATTTCCACAGGCACTTGCAACCTCCAGATTACAGACCCAAAACATAACTGCCGATTATATGAAACTGAAGTTTTCATGATTACACCTACAACTGCCTTTCATTATTGTACTGCTGCAACTCAAACATACTAAAATGGTAGCATAGTTTAATACAACCATGAAAACAAATGTTAAAGTAATGTACAATCGCTGACCAATTGCCTTTATAGTGTTAGACAATGTACATCCTACGTCCATTTGTAAATTCAAAGTCATAGTAACATACCTGTACTAAGGATTTTGTCAGCCATTTTCTGTAGGAATGATGGAATCTGTTGCTGAACAACAGTATATCTCTGATCCCAATACTTGTCATTATAATCCTCTTGGATCTTCTCCTTCTGCAGCTCATGTTCTTCCACCATGAACTCACTAAGATTAAAACACATATTTAGATATAAGACTACAAATAGTCTCCTTGTTTTATTTGACATTAAAGTGGTAACAATCTATCAGAAATGGGAACCCATATGACTTCAAGCTGACAGTTTGAAAAGCATTTCAAACAGGATCCCAATTAATCTGTAGTCATGGCAGCAGAAATGGCAGCAATGGTGAGCCTTTGTGCTCACCTGTTTTCTTCAGCTGTAACTACAGAATTTTAGAAGGATCAACACAGGTTACGTTCAATTCAGCTCATGGCATTAATGAAAAGGTTAGGATTTATCTTAATGTACTTTCTCACCACAAAGAAAGCATATTCACTGATCTCTAAACAACCTTGCCCCCGCTCCCCCTGCTCCCTTTCCCCCAGTTCCCCCACCCGCTGGCTGCTTCAGACCCGCCTGCCTCCCCGCTCCACTCCCTCCCTGCCTGCCACCTGTGTGCCCCCCCTCCCTGCCGGCTGTTCTGGGGGGCTGCCAAACTTCCCCAGCAGTGGTGCAAACTTGGGCCTGCACAGCCCGGGCCACCCAGTCAAATGCCAGCCACCCTCTCGACGACGCATGCACAGTTGGCCAGAAGCATTAGGGACAAAGACATACAGACAGACACACTAAGCCTTTTATTATATTAGAATTAATGGACTTCTGTAAGTACCACTCACAGTAGGATAAAAATGTAGCATAATACACATGAAACAGGACACAGCTAGGGTGGCTTTCAGTCTGACGGGAGAGCATGAGATATCAACTGTAATGTTGCTGATTTTGCGCGATTTCTTTGAATTTAAAACAAAGGAGTCAGGGCCTACACAACAACAGAGAAACATTAATGCTCGGCAGAACAAGGATTTTGGGACTTGCTCCTGGACAGATAGATACCTTGAAGGTCAGAAGATGAGCTACCTCGGTTTGACAGACACAGCCTGATAACTGTTCTGTAATTCTTAAGGAATCCCTGTAATTGAGTAGCACTACTACTTCTTAGTCTAATTTTAAAACAGGGTTCTTAAGAAGGACTGTGGACAGAAGAAGCAGATATTGTATACAATGGGATTATAAACTCCCCAAAAATCTCTAGTGTAGATGAGCTCCTAATTCACAGCCAAGCCATAAATGTTAAGTTTTAGTTATGGAAGCATGGAAACAACATCTTAAAAAAAAGAACTGATGTACGACTTCTAGATTTGATATTAGGTTGTCCCCTCCCTTGCCCCCCAAGGTTAGGAGTGAGGGGAAGCTAACAGTCTGAAACACTGTATTGTGAATATATGTAGAAGTGGTGAAGATAGGCACTGTATTTTGGTAATATCATTACTGAACTGGAGTAAAACAAAAATAGCACTATAATACACAAAAACATTATACAAAAGCAGCAAAACTTGTTAGCCTTTCCCCATTATTTCTGTACCTGTATGGATCATTGATGATTCCTCTATAGATCCACTTCTCCAAAATTTCAAAATAAGGCACGCTGGCTGCCTTGGTTAAATACAGACATAGCTCCTGTGCTTGGCTGTCTCCTGTGTAATTGAAAGTCCTATCATGGAGCAAACTCAGGGTCGATCCTCCCACACACTCACCCTTATCCACAGAAGTGGCTATGATTCAAAACAAAACAAAACAGAACAGAACAGAACATTTAAGATGCAAGGCTTTTCATTTAAATCCACATATTGCTGTAATAGTAAAACTCTAGGCAGACATCACTTTTAATCACTTTAAAAGGGAAGAGAAGTTACCAAGCTTAATTTATTTCCTCTATAAACTCTCACAGACTTTACAGATTAGAACTTCACATCATAAGTGAGCTAAAATGAATAAGACAGGGTTAAAGTTATAATTTTGCTACACTTTTATTACTAATCTAACAACTACTATCTATATATGATACTGGTACAATTCTTACATCTGACTATACCCAATGATTTGGTAATGTTGAAGTAAAGTTGTAGCCATGATGATCCAGGAGATATGCAAGAGGCCAGAAATTTTGTGGGAGATGGTCATTTTGATCCATGCAATTCAAAAATGGTAATCGAGTGTATGAGAGAAAGAAGAATTCTTGTGGGTGGTATCTTTTATTGGACCAACTGCATGGTCCGTGCGGTTGGTCCAATAAAAAGACCTCACCCGCAAAAGTTCTTCCTTCTCTCATACAACCCAGTTAGTCATTTTGGTAAAGGTTATCAAGGCTTAAAATAGACAAAAGGCTTCTGAAAGAAAACTCCTGAAAGAGTAGTAGACAAAAGGCTTCTGAAAGAGTTAGACGCGGGAGCGGCGAGAGACGCGCGGGTGAAAGCCTGCTGCGCCCCCGCTCCCCCGAAACCCCCCAGAGACCCTCCAGCAGCCGCGGAGTCCCCCGCTGACCCCCAGCACAGCCGGAGGCAAGCA